AGATCGAACGATAAAGTCTGCGAATGATAGAATCAACGAGATTCGACTGGATGCCATTATGATAATCTTTAATGTAATGTATGGTAATCTCCTATTGAGAATCGAGTTGTGAAATTTTGATAATTGATGAAAGGTTGTTATAATTAATACGATTTATCCTGAATGTACTTTGATTCTTTGAGAATCTAATAGCATCGAGTGATTGAAATTTTATATAAATTAAACGAATCGAAATTTTATATAAATTTTTCGCAAATTCGCGATAAAAGTAATTTCGTTCGATTCTTTTCAGAATCTATGAAATAATTTTTGAAACAATCTTCTTCGAAATAATCTTGCCTCGATCACTCTCGTCTGCGTTATTAATCGTCGTCGAAATATCTTGGAAATATTTCGAAACAGGAGTAGAAAGATCATCGATCAGATCCGACGAATAGAGAGAGAATCCTAACCAAACTAACCAGAAACCGAGTAAAATTACTACAATTTACGAAGTAATGAAAATTATACAAGCTTACAAGCAACTGTGAAAGAGATTCCGCTTTCCTGAATTTCAATTTCCCGAGCTTAAATAACACTTCAATTCTGGTACCTCGTAACTCGCACAAAGGTATTCGTTATTATCATCGTAATTTTTGAGACTATGAATTCCCGCCGCATTGTAACGATAAAATGGAAAAGGTGTATTATCATTATCGTGAGAAGATTGAATGTTACTTACATTATTCCCCAAAGCTATCATTTGTACCATTCAGACAAATTAATCTCTTACGAATTTACAACAATTTATCGCGAAAAAATAATTTTAAACGAATTATGCTCGATCGATTTTCCTTCATCGATCTTAATCACGTAACAGTAATACGCGTAATTTGAAACTTTAATCCAATTTTTTCGATTTTAAATCTTCGTACCAGAAGCAATATCTCGAAGAAGACAGATCAATCTCCAACTTATTATTCGAAATAATGTGAAACAACCGTTCAATATCAATGGAAACAAGATATATGTAATTTTTTCTCACGTTTGATACTACGATCGAAACCCTTAGCCCTTAAAGGGTTATATCAAAGCAACATAAACACCTGAAAGAACGTGGGTCATCCTTCTACGTAAATACCCAATAATTGATGTATCATCGAGATAGCGTAAAAGGAAGAGGGAGAAAAGCGATGAAAAGCGTTTAACAAACCACACACGCGAGGAAATTTCTGCAAACACGCAAGAGATCAAAAGTACTCTCTCTCTCTCTGACATCCCTACCTCGTTTCGAAAATAGAGAAAACGCGTGCAAGCAAGGAATTCGTCAATATTAATCTTACCCTTCCATTTTCAACCCCTTCTCTCTGTTAAGCGAAAACGATGGACTAAGAGGAACTAACGTGCCCCACCCCCCTCCCATCCTCTCAAACGTTAATAAACACCCTTTAATTCCGGTGAAATGAATCCAGACGAAAATCATTTGCCAAGATCCGATTCGAAATTCCACCATGAAAGCAATTAAGAAATGATCGATTTTAAATAAACGTTGCACGCGTGTTGGATAAGGATACGCTACATTGCTTTGATATATTTTATCTCTCTTGAAGAATTATAAATTGCTCGGTGAAAAAGTATCATGCAGAAATTGAATATTATTAAATTTCGATCTTTCGAATGATAAGCAACGGTTATTCTTTCGATTCATCGAATGAATATTTCATTTCCAAGAAATTTTGAAAAAAATTGGTTATACCTTTTGGAATATCTAGAATATCTATTTGGGCTAACTCAAAAAAAAAAAAAAAAAAAAAAGAATTAAACGAGGTTATCGAATTAATATTATAGATGTAAAAAGTTTCGTTTTTGTGATTAGAATGATTCGATAAGTTGACCCAAGATATTAAAAATATTCCAATAAATAAAAGATATTATATAAAATTTTTAGTAAAATGAAATATTCTTTTATACAAACTCTACCATTTCCTCTAGATTTCATTTCATTCCCTTAATTTTACCAAAATGTGAAAAATTTGGAAAATGTTGAACAGAATTCTTATTCGAAAAAGTTAAAAAAAAAAAAAAGAAAAGCTTTGATCATAATGGAACGATGAAAATGTAATGCTTGTTAATACTAATAAATTAAAAAATAATACTTTCGAGATTTCTTCCATTCAAAGAAAATGAATCCCGTCGCGATAAAACAGTTTCAAAGTAAAAGATTTGAAAACAATATGCAGAGATAACAAAATGTGTCATTAACATAATGAATATATATTAAAAACGAATATTAAAACAAATTCTGGGATACTATCTAGATAATTTTTTCTTATCTTCTTAATTAATAAATTAATAAACCTGCACACACCTCTGCATTCTCTATGAAGGGTGTTTAAAAGATAAGGGTCTATAGTTTTCAAGGCCTCATAATACCCTCAACCACTTAGGTTTAAAAAAAAATTTTAATTTAAAATATAATTTTTTCCACCCACCCAAGTAAAAACAGTTAATAAGCTCAATTTACTCATCCATAATAAATAATATTGCTGTTATAAATTGTAACAACAAATATGGAACAAGATAATTTGATATATGCACGCACATTCAATTCATAATTCATACTTGTGTGAATATCGTATCAGAATAGATGAAAGACATATAAATTGAATTATTTACAAACGATAGCGCCATTTTATTAGTCGTTTCTTCTTCGACGTTAATAATAATTTTTTTTTTCTTTTTAACGTTTCAAACTTCCTCTATCGTACGTAATAATTTACCTTGTCAAATTTTTTTCTCATATCCATTCTTTCACGATCGTTATCACAAGCTCGTTAAATTTTCCAATCGCGTTCCCAAAAAAAATTTCACAAATTTTCAACTTCTACGCAAAACTTACGAAAATCAAAAACGTCACCAAATTTTTTTATCCCCTAATTTTCCAACAATAATCACGAATAATAATTGCTGCGAAAAGAATGAAGGAGGAGGAAGGGGGAGAGAGGAAAAAAAACAGATTATGAATGTAAGGTCGCTCGAGTCGGGTTCTATTAAATATCACAGGGGAAATGGGTAGGAGACAAGGGATGATTATTAACCAGATCATAAATATGGAAACTGAATCCACCCTTACGGGCGCCCAACCCCTCCCTCCCGTCCTCCCTGATCCAGGGGAGGGGGCACGATCTCGAAAAAAATACTAAAATTTGTCGCATAATTTTTAACACGATCGAGCTACAACAGCTGAAACGGGGAACGGGGATGAATAGGAGCGACGCGAATCGATAATGGAACGGTACAAGCGAAGCGTATAAAAATTGCATTATCCGTTCCTTGACGAACACCTCGTCGGATTTAATAATTTGACATCGGCGATACGAATTCATAATCTCATTGCGCCTTCCACGGGGGCTCGAAATTACTTTACCAACCGGAAAAATATGTTTAAAAGGCGGCGCTAGAGCTTCCTCTCGAAATTATAATAATATAGTTTTATCGTATTGTCGAGGATCGATAGGTTAATACGTGCTCCCTCGACCAACGAGAGGGGATGATCCGATTTTTCATTCTCGATTCGAAAATGTTTCACCTATGTTGAACTTTTGAAATTCATTTTTCAACGTTTTAACGGAGGAGGTTAATATTTCTGAAAGATAAGAAACACTTCTAACTTATGTTTTATGCACGTGAGGATCGATTTAATTCAATTCACCAGACACGGATTTTTATCGAGGCCAAATTGAATCCCCAATGTTGATACCAATGTAAATTATCCTAAATATTTTTATCTGGAAATAATATTTAATCTGAGACGAGCGACACTTCGATAAATAAATAATATTTTTCGAAACGATTGCGAACATTGAAAAATTGTTCCACAATAATCGCGATAATCCGAAATTGGTAATTTTTTTATTCGTGTCGTTCATCTTTGGAATCGGAGGCGGGATGAATGTCATCAGGTTGCGCTATGTCACGACGAAAAAAGGCAGAGAAGGTGGACGTGTAATCCGTGGCAAGGGAGGCAAAACGTTTAGCATGCAAAAGAAGTAAACGTCGCTCATAAAGGAGGAATCCACAATGAACCAATAAGCGAATAATCCTTAACAAGAACAAAAAAACGAGGAGGGATGACAGGGAGGGAGAGAGAGATCGACACCAACGATACTATCCCTTATCTCTATACACTTCCCGATCGAGTAAATCTCGACGATTCCTCGATACATTTCGTGTGTTCAACTTTCCATCGAATCATTTTCTAAATCTCGAACGAAAGAGGACAAATTTAGAATCGACGATTTCTAAATATTCCCATCCACATTTGTCTCGTCTCTTAAATAATTGTCCTCCTAAGAACCAATCTCTTTTCCACGACAAGAAAAACAAGAAAAATACCTCGAATCGAACACGATATTATTCTATCTATAATTTAAAACCAACAAGCTTATTTCCACCCGTAAATCGTAATTCTCAAGGCATTGCCGTTACCGAATATCACGCCCCCAACTCGATAAAATTAAAACTACGCGATTGTATCGCGAATGATTTGTCGCAGTCGGCACCACGGAAGTCTTACAGCAGCAGGGAGTTTCCGGGCTTACATAAGTAATTACCACGATCGATAGGGAACCGCTCATAGAGCATCTAGGCGCAGAAAGAGGGAGGGAGGAAGGAAGAGAGAGAAAGAGAGAGAGAGAGAGAGAGAGAGAGAGAGAGAGAGAGTCCAAGTCGATTTAAGTAGAAACCCGAGTGCTTCGCCTTTACAGTACTTTTCCAGCGTTACACTCTGAATAGGTAGACACTTCTAACAACCTACTCAAACATCAAACGCCTCCCTTTCACCTTCGAATCGACGTCTCACTCCCCTCCGAACTAACCTTCGTCCCCTCGACAATCTCTCCAGCCTTTTTACAGGTACACACTCCTCTATTATTCCGCCGTTTCCTTTCGAGATCGAGCAATTATATTCGCGCCTCGCCAAAGGAGGATATAAACTCGCGAGGAGGATCGGGAGGATAGGGGGAGAGAGAAGACGACGACGACGAGTATTTTTCTTTTTTCTTTTTTTAACTCTTCATTAGAGATGATTTAAAATGTCCACACACGCGATTATGAGAAATGAATGGAAAATAGGAGAAGGGGGATTTACTTTTTTTTTTTTTAAGAATAAATAAATAAGAACGTGGCGGGGAAGAAAAGAAAGTAGAAAAAAGGAAAAGTTTTGTTTTACGAGATTAAGAAAATTTTGAATTTTGATTTTCACGTGTTACGATAAATGTGAGTAAGTAAAGAGAATAAAGAAATAGAGAATAGGAAGAAGAATAATGATAAAATAAAGAATAGAATAAAGAAAGGGGGGAGGGAAATGTAATGAAATGTAATGAAATGTTCGAGTTTTGCGGATGATCGAGGAATTTTTGAATCTCTGATTTTCCTGCGTAATGAGAAACGAAAAAAAAAAAATAAAAAATAAAACGTGATAGTAGAAAGGAAAAGTTTTAAATTTCGATTTTCACTAACGAAGATAAATAAATATATATACGGATAAATGAAAAGGGAGGGAAGAAACGGTGAAGCCGTTCCTTTTACGACTGATGGATCTAACAAAAGATGGTGAAGTGTGTCCCAACTATGAGGATCGAGGGTAAAATTGTACGGCAATATCGCTTTTTAAGAGGTAAGTCAACGTTAGCTCTTGCCTCTATCCCTTGCGAAACTTTGATATATATCTCGCCGGAAACGTCGCTCTTGTGAAATTATTTCTAGAATTTCCCGTTGTCTCGCCACATACATTCGAATTATCGATCGATGCACGCGTGGTAACTGTTTATATATTCTTTATACTTCCTCCTTTAAATAATTTCTCGTTATTACTCGTTACGAATGAATGTTTATGGCTATAATAAAAATGCATCTTTCCTTTTCTCCCCTCCCCCATCTGTAAAAGGTTAATTAATTTTGAACTTGTTTCTTTTTTTTCCGAAAGTTCGAAAGAAAGATCGTAATGAATAATTAAAAACGTAATTTTGTGGTGGATTCTTTAATATCTAGGGCGAGTATCAAAGGTTCAAGGTTGTAATTGTAATCGTAACCCCTCCCCCCTGTTTATAATTACGTTATTAAAATTAGTTTTCTTGAACAAACGTGAAAAGGGAGGAAGCGGAGAAACCGCCTTTGTATATTAATTACGATCCTCTGTGGCCGAAACCGGTATAAGATTAACATAAAATTTAAAATTCGTTATCTACCCTTCAACAGATTTTTAAAATTCATTTTGAATCGTATATTTATCCGGTATATTTGCCCTCGATTTACATTTCAAATATAAAATTTTATCACCCTTCCTCAAAAAAAAAAAAAAAAAGATAACCGAAATGAAAAAGTGAATATTTCGCGAAAAATTTTTCGATATCGATGACATATGAATTATCACGTATCACACTCCAGACAAGAATTTTCTCCAATCGAGTGAAAATCAAAATTTCCACGAGAAGATTGAGGAGATCCGAATTTAAAAAAATACATCTATCTAATTATCTAATAAAGAATACAACTCTTCAATTTTCTTACGAAAAAAAAAAAAAAAAAATGTAACGAGATATCT